GGCAGCAGGTGGTCCTGCAGCAGGTGGTCTGGCAGCAAGTGGAGCGACAGCAGCAGGAACCACAGCCACTGGAACCACCACAGCAGGGGCTGCAGCAGCTGGAGCCACAGCATCTGGGGCGGCAGCAAGTGGTCCTGCAGCAGATGGACTGGCATCAGCAGGGGCTGCAGCAGCTGGAGACACAGCAGCTGGGGCGGCAGCAGGTGGTCCTGCAGCAGGTGGGCTGGCAGCACCTGGGCTGGCAGCAGCCACAGCCCTGGCCAGAGCAGCAGGAGCCACAAGAGGAGTTGCACATGGTGTCAGAGACTGGAGGTTCTGGGGGTGTTTCCAGGAGGTGGGTTTTGAAGGTTTGGAAGTTTGTTGGTCCTATATCCCCTTTTATACCCTGCCAAGTGGCTTGTGTCGGCACACACGACAACCTGTTTTTTTACTAAACAGTACAGTAGGAGATAGTCAATTACCATATTAGACCCATTTATATTTGGTTGGATTTTCAGTCTGGAATGAAAACATGATTTCCTTTTCCTCATGTGTTAGTATTTATCCCTCGGTTCTTTCTGAGTCATGTGCCATAATTCTTTCACAAAGAGGTGTCACAAGACATTCTTTCTGTACTTGGAACTGAGTATCAGGGTGCCTAGAATATCATGTCAGTTCTGTTTTTTTTAAAAAAATATTTTATATACATTTTAGTTTTCGGCAGACACAACATCTTTGTATGTGGTGCTGAGGATCGAACCCAGGCCACACCCATGCCAGAAGAGCGCGCCACTGCTTGAGTCACATCCCCAGCCCCTCATGTCAGTTCTTGAGTGATGATGACACCCATTTTTCTTTTTGTAGACAGAAAGGACAAATCTGGCTTTTCATCCTCTTGCTCATTCTTTCTGGCCTCATGTGGGCAAAGAAAGTTTGTGCAATCCAGAAATCCTGACATGAAAACAGGAAGGCAACTTGGACATATGTCCCCCTTCATGTCAGTCACAAGCTCCATTCTAGATCTTTCGTGGGGTACACAGAACTTTTTTGTAACTTGGAAAGCTGTAGTGATTTGTAGAGATTTTTCCCAGTTTTTAAAAAAAATCTCAAAAATGTATTTGAGGCACTTTGGGATGAAGTTGACCATAAAAATCAGCTACACTATGGGGTTCAAATTCCACAGCTCTCCACTTGTGGATGAAGTGTTTCTTTTCCTGATTTTGTGGTTTTAAAAGACCATATTGACCCATGTCTTCTGTTTCCAGGACTCATTTGACAACTCCACATAGATGCCTGAGGCTCAGTGCCCCTTATACAACTCCCACTCTGCTCTCTGATTCTGTATTGGATTGCTTGTCCCTGAACATGAAATATACTGTCCTTTCTCATTATTCATTTTTGAGGCTGTTGATTGGAATTCACTGTTTAGATTTTCTCTCTCTCTCTCTCTCTCTCTCTCTCTCTCTCTCTCTCTCACACACACACACACACACACACACACACACACACACGCAAACACACAGAGAGAAAGAGAGAGAGAGAAAAATAGAAAGAAAAGAAAACACATATCTAGACCAAGGGATTTCATCTGATGCATAATCATAGTGTGGCCATAAGAAGATCTTCAAGTGTACAAAACAGCCAAAGCATTCAGATAGGCACACACATTCTTATCTAAACTTGTTTTCTTACTTTTTAAAAAACTTTTCAGGTGCAAGAGAAGATTGTCTGTTCACAGGCAGAAATAAACCTATAGGATTTCATCTGATTTCTAAACCAGATCCTGAAAGATGAGAGGGCTTGGAATAATATAGACCTATCTCTGAAAGAAAGTGGATGCCAACAAGGAATACTATAGCCCAAAAAATTCATCTTCAGATCCAAGATAAAATGAAACCTTACATGGTAAACAGAAGCTAAACCAATTCATAACCACTTAAGCCTTCCATACAGAACATGCTTAATAAATATTTTATGAAGAAGAAATGAAAAATAAAAATAAAAACCATCCTAGAGAGTACTTACACTAAAAGAACAGTCTAGTAAAGGACAATCAAGTCCAATTGAAACATTAGGAACAAATGAAGATGGCAGGAAGTAAAATAATTTCTTTATAATAACATTGAATATAAATGGTCTAAAGTCTTCAATCTAAAGACTTAGGCTCTCTCTTAGGCTGGCGCGCGCTCTCTCTCTCTCTCTCTCTCTCTCTCTCTCTCTCTCTCTCTCTCTCTCTCTCTCTCTCTCTCCCTCTCTCTCTGTCTCTCTCTCCGGTACTGGAG